CTGTGGTACGCTCGAAGACAGTTTCGGGGACTAAGCAGGTACTTTAATCGCCCTGTGGTACACTCGAAGAAGGCTTCGGGGACTAAGCAGGCACTCATCGCCCTGTGGTACGCCCAAAGAAAAGCGTCGAGGACTAAGCAGGCACTTTCATTACCTTGTGGTGCACTCGAAGAAGGCTTCGAGGACTAAGCAGGTACTCATCGCCCTATGGTGCGCCCAAAGAAAAGCTTTGGGGACTAAGCAGGCACTCATCGCCCTATGGTGCGCCCGAAGAAAAGCTTCGGGGACTAAGCAAGCACTCATCGCCTTGTGGTGCGCTCGAATAAGGCTTTGGGGACTAAGCAGGCACTTTCATCGCCCTGTGGTGCACTCGAATAAGGCTTCAGGGACTAAGCAGGTACTTATCGCCCTGTAGTGCACCCGAAGAAAAGCTTCAAGGACTAAGTAGGCACTCATCGCCCTATGGTGAGCCTAAAGAAAAGTTTCAAGGACTAAGCAGGCACTCATTGCCGTATGGTGCACTCGAAGACAGTTTCGGGGACTAAGCAGGCACTTTAATCACCCTGTGGTGCGCCTGAAGAAGGCTTCAGGGACTAAGCAGGCACTCATCGCCCTGTGATGCGCTCGAAGAAGGCTTCGGGGATTAAGCAGGCACTCATTGCCTTGTGGTGAGCTCAAAGAAGGCTTCAGGGACTAAGCAGGCATTTATCGCCTTGTGGTGTGCTCGAAGACAGCTTCGGGGACTAAGCAGGCACTTTCATTGCCTTATGGTGCGTCCGAAGAAAGATTAGGGTACTAAGCAGACAAAACCGAACATTCGGGTTAATTCCCTTTGTTCATCAAGTCGTCAAATGCTTTGGACTGACCAAGACATTTATCGATTACGTCTTTTGAGGTACCCTAAACAAGATGCAGGTGCTTATGTCAAGCAGTCGCCAAACATGGGATCAATCCCCCTTTGTTCACATCAAGCCTTTTCACATACCTCTGACAAGATTCAAATACTTCGACAAAGCAAATCCCCGTCAAGGTGACCGAAGTAAGTAAATCCCCCTTTGTGGGTCCTCGACACACAACATCAACTATCTGGAATTACTCTACCCTCCTGACAAAGTAAGTAACCTTATCATCTTATATCACATTATGAAAAAATGGGACCCATGGTCCCGCTAAAAATAGCATTAATTAAGCATGCACGGGCCAAAATTAGGTGTCATTTTATCTTTGAATGCAACCTCTACGAGCTCACCTTCAAAAAGAGGCTGCTATTAACACCTATTTTTTAATTACCCAAAATTAATTATGCAAAATTTAGGAGTTAATTTTCTTTAATTCCTAAAAATAAATATATATATATTTTTATCAAATTGCATTACATGTAGACATTAGGTAAATTTGAATTAAATGCACCAACCAAAGTTTTTTTCATTATTTATTATTAAAAAATTAAAAAAAATTGAAAAATTAAAATCGGATCGAGCCGGGTCAGGACCTGCCTAACCTGGCCCTCTCTTCGCCTTTTCGCGCGGGACTGGGCTTGACCCAGCCCATCCCGGCTTTTTCTTTCTCCTGCACGGGAGTTGGCCTGGCCCAGTCCAGCCCCTTTTTCCCCCATGCAAGGGCCCAGCCCGCTTCCTTTCCTCCTCTCTCCTTTGTTCTCCCCTACTCCGACCGACTACCTGGGACGACGCGGATTATCCACTCGACCGTGCAGCCATGGCCACCAAAGTCGTGGTACAGGCTAGGCCAGCGCAGGGCCATTAAGACGACGACTTCCAAGGCGGGGCAGGTGGCCGGCAGCCCTTATATAGGCGACGGAAGAGAGAGAGAGAGGCGTTGATAAAAAAAAAATAGAGTATAGAGAGAGAGAGAGAGATTCAAAGAGAATTTGACAGAAATAAATGGCAAGAGAGAAGGTTTGGAGTGTTTACAGGTCCCAGCAGCCCCGCCATTGCCAATTGGACGATCGGTGACCCCCCCGAAAGCAGCGCCGATCGGTGAGTCTTCCCGATCTCTGTTCTGCCCTATTCTCCCCTATTTTAGTGCGTGGTTTGGCCGGGACTCGCGCCGGCCATTTCGTGCGAATCCCGACCTATACCGTCGCTCCCCATAGTTTATACGTCGTCACCAAAGATAAGCCCAGGTTGCCGGAGGACGCCGGAGCCTCGAAACAAGTCAAAGTTGTTTCATTCCGTCTGTGCACACCAAGTGTTTGTTGAAATGCCTCAATGAGGCTAATTTGGTTTTGGTCGCCGGCCGACAAGCAGGTGGTCGGACGGTAAGCTAGGTGGCTATGGAGGCTTCGTGGTGATCCCCAAAGATGGAAACCAGGCCAGAGTTGGCCTGCGGTGGCCGACAAGATGCAGTATCTCGCTCGGCCGACATCCCCGTGTGCTTGTGCATGCGAGAACCGATCCCGACCCGATTCATGGGTCTTGACTCTTGACCCAATTCGAATCCAAAGATCCAACACGAGTCAACGATTTTGGGTCGGATCCGTTGACCCGGGTCGATTCCAACCCGACCCGACCCAACCCAACCCAATCGAACATTATATTATTTTTAATTAAAAAATATATTGTTTTATTTTTCTTTTAAAATTAGAAAATAATTTAGAATTTAGTATTTTTGAATGTTTTTCTAAATTATGTGAATTATTTTATTAATGATCAAGTTTAAATCGGATAGGCTTATAAGGCTATACGGAAGTATTTTGCGTGTTATTTTTATTACTATTGTATATTAATATGCATGTTGTTTCTAATTAGAATATAATTGCATAAATTGTCATGTTTTGAAAGTTGTCGCCTTAGTTAGGATGAGAATCTTTGGCTGCATATCTATCTTAACTGCTAATCGTTAATGATTGTGCACTCATTTAATCACCTCACATGTTAGGAGATAGGTCCTAAAATCAATCTAAACTGCCTGACAAATATTTTCTCAAATGAACAGGATGAAAGGTACCAAAAGGGTACTAGTCACTCAACTAATGTAACTAAGTCCTCGAATTTATTTAATCTCTGGTTCGTAGGAGTAAAGCGATTCTCCCGTCACCTTACTTGGGTTTCTAATCGATCTACCCCAAATTGATTATATGACATTTTGAAATTCGACCCTTTTTGAGATATATGAAATGATTATTTCATCGATGCATTGCTAGTTAAATCTTGCTCTGAATTGATCACTCACGAGAAGACTAACCAATAGGGAGAGGCTGTTAAGAAATTAAGTACGCACGACCTGAGAACTCGACCATGGATTGACAATTCGACCACAAGGATTGACAATGGATAATTTTGAACCATTATAGACCGATCAAGGAACGGTTATAGAATGATTCGTCAATAGTATACAATCGGATCGTTGGTGATTCCGCCTAGCCATTGTATAGATTGCAAACGACCCTAAACCAATTCCTAATGATCGTGTACTTCGGAACTAGCGATTGATCCCTCACAATTACATGACAATCGAGATCATCCATGACTCAAGAAAGCTTAAACGTGGTTTGATCAAATCAACCATGAGTCGAATACGCGTAACTCCTAAAAGCCGCCCGTTAGTTTGAGATATACTAAAGTCGTAATTGATCAATTTTGACCATGAATTAAAATCCGAACTTGGGTATCGAACTTCCAAGGATTTCAAGACTAACCGATTGGACGTCGCCTCGATAATCATCCGATTTATCGGTTTACTCGAAATTCTCGGAAAAGGAAATTTCGGGCTAAGAATTGGAGCCCACGAGGAAGTGGGCCGAGCAAAGGCCCAATGGGCCTCACGCCCATTGTGCTTTGGCCCAATTGGGCCCAAGCAAGCCGAGTGAGCCAAATGAGGCCCACTAAGCTTAGTCAATTTTCAAGCCCATTGGCAATTCTAGCCCAATCTTTACCTTTTTGAGCCCGAACTTGATTTATACGAGCCCGTACAAAATTCTAGCTCATATACACGTATAGTATTTTATACTATACTTTGTGAAATTACCAAAATGCCCTTCTAGCATTTATTAAGAAGTGACAAAGGGGGAGCAAAGTCTTGGCATTTATGTGGGGAAATGATGAATCTTGACTTGAATTTGGTTTGATCAAGAAGCCTTGCATGAGAAATATCTCTCATTTCTCTCACTCTCTCTCTCTCCTCCTCCCTCAACCGGCGCCCTCTCTCTCTCTATATCCTCCCTCACGCCACCACCATTTCCAACAACCATCACCGTCTCTTTGGCTGCTGTTTTGATCGCCGATCACTGCCCTTATCGCCCCCAAGCCGCACCGTGCCGCCATGCGCCACTTTGAGCCGTCCTCGCCATCCATCCGAACACCACCATGAGCCAAACCAGCCCTCATCGGAGCTATTGGCTGCTGTCCATCCATCCGTCGTCATCCCATGTTGTTTCCGGACCAAGTCACTTGTAGCCCTCGCTGCCGCCATTGCACTCTTGTCGTCAGAATCATTTCCAGGTGAGTTATCGCCCTAATTCCTTGATTAGTACGTTAAACTTTATTAGGATGAGTTTAGATTAAGTTAATTATGCTTAGTGCTAATTAATTAGGGATTAGTTGATAAGCTATCGCAATAAGTGATAAGCAGTAGTGATAAGTTATCGCGATAGATGATAAGTGGACTCGATAGGTTATTGAGAAAATACGACAAGCTATCGAGGTTTTAGTGATAAGCTATCACCAATTATGCGATAGGCTATCGAGGAAATGATGTTTTGGCATTCTATAACTTTCCCATTCAGGAGAAAGATAGAATTGTCCGCAAACAACAAGTGTGAGAGATTTGGGCAATGTCTATTTAGCTTTATTCCTTTTACTCTACCATCTTCAACTGCCTTTTATAGTAAGGAGAGGACATTAGCCACAAGTATAAAAAGATAAGGTGAGAGAGGGTCACCTTGTCGGATTCCACGTGTCGGGTTGAAATAAGGCAAAGGCTCCCCATTGAACTTCACACTAAAGAAGATAGTAGTGACACATTGTATGATCCACGAGACCCATTTTTAGCATACAAGCTTCCAGAAAGTCCTACTCAATCCTATCATAGGCTTTTTCCATATCTAATTTCAGCACTGCTTGGAATTTTTTCTTCCTTTTCCTAATTCATAGTTGGTTCAATACCTCTTGAACTATCATGATATTATCCTGAATTTGCCTTCCACTAACAAAGGCACTTTGTTCCACTTCAATCAATTGAGGCAGCCATGTTCTTAACCGGTTAGCCTGTACCTTCGAAACGATCTTGTACGTGAAGTTGCAAAGGCCGATGGGTCGGTATTGTTAATTAGAACTTGACGTGAAATCAATTGATATATTTTTGGGTCTGTTTGTTTGATGGAAATTAGTGGAATTGTTTTCATGAAAGATGAGTCATTTTCTTATGTTTGATCGTGTTGGAAAATCACTTGAAAGAAATTCTGGTGTTTAACAAAAAATGAAATTGATTGGAGAATCCATTACAAATTACCTTTAAAACGACAGTTCAGTCGTATTTAGAATCAAATAAGTCTTCTAGTTATTGTTCACGGTGCGAATAAATGAGACGAGTTTACGAAATCAGATTTGAACTTGTCCTGTTGTGACCTGGGGGAAAGTTTTTAGTTTAGTAAATTAGAACGTGAGGTGGAATGAATTGATCAGAATGCTTTATAAAATAATATTTTATTGCAGGAAATTTCCTCAGCCCTTCCCGCGATACTTTGGCTCGTCCATAAATACTTCAGAATTGCATGCATTAGACACTACTCTCTTACATCTCTCTCCTCATTATTCAACTCGATCACTACACTCTAGCTCCCGAAGATGGCAAAGAGAAAATATTCGGATGGATCAGCGGTGTCCACCAGTAGAGGCGATGTTGAGTCATCGCTGGGGGCTGAATACGAGGTGGTCTTGAGTTTTAGAGGGCCCGACACTCGCTGGAATTTTGCCGACTGCCTCTATCACACCATGTATGGAGCTGGCATTCGCGTTTTCAGAGACGACGAAGAGATCAGAAAAGGCGAAGAGATCGGAGGAAAACTGAAGCGTGCAATCAAGAGCTCCTCAATCTGTATTCCCATCTTCTCTAGACACCACGCTGTCAGTGCGTGGTGTCTTCGCGAGCTTGCATACATGGTGTATCGCAAAGCGATGATTCTGCCGGTCTTCTTTGACGTGGAACCCAGAGATGTCAAGCTTAAAACTAAGCTGTACCAGGATGCTCTGCAGATGCACGAGAAGTACGGCTGCGAGGTCGTGCAGCGATGGAAGGAGGCTCTGGAGAAGGTCGCTGGTATGAGCGGATGGGATCTCAAAGATACCGGGTAAGGTTTGGGCTTTTATTTTTTTCTTTGATTAGATATTTAATTGATATAACTATAAATAATGGGAAATATTATCATCCTTGCATTAAAAGTTACACCTACCCATTGTTCTCTTTTTCATCAAATTATCACTCAATTCCCACATATTTTATAACTACTCACTACACATCCACTCCATTAAATCGATTCCTTTAAAAAATAGATGAATTTTCCACCCATTTAAATCAATTCCCTTCAAAACTAGATGAATTCTCTATTACGACATGACAAATCCAATATGAATTCATTATTCAATTTGCATCTTTTAAATTGCATAAAAATACCTTTTCTTAACTTCTAAATCAATGTTATGTAGGTATGATTTAATTAAAACTTTGTTCTAGCTATTACTATTTTACTGCATGCAAAACTAGTAAACCGAGCACACACCATAGATGAGCAATAAAAAATGAATAAACAAATCCTTTGCATATATCTAAAGGAAGAAAATCCAATGGTTTCGATTTTTACAATTTATGGTTGAGGGAGCATCTTTTACAAAGTTTAAGATTTATCCTTGTCTGACCAATCTACATCTTTGATTATAGTATAAAATACACAATTGCAATTCGTTTCAAGTAAATTGACTGGATTTTGGTTGATTGAGGAGGAGGGGTGCAATTCACTTACATTTTGGGAGGGGGATGGTCGCGCCCGCTTCCTCCACCACCCCTCCTCTATGGTTGGTTTATGTTTAATTCATAATATTCCGGAGCTCGATAGTTTAATATTCTATTTGGATGCTTCTTACTAGACCCTTTTATCAAATATGACAGTCATGGCAAACTCATTAAGTTAATCGTTGCTGAAGTTTCGAAGAAGCTGAATAAAAGAGACAAAAAGCTGCCAGATCATTTAGTCGGAATTGAGGATCGTGTTGATGATGTCATGCGCCTAATAGATGAAGGTTCACCCGATGTACGTTATCTGGTAATCCACGGAATGGGGGGCATCGGTAAGATGACTCTTGCCAAAGTCATCTTTAACCAAATTTCTACTCGATTTCATGGGTGCAGCTTTCTTTTGAATGTTCGAGAAGCTTCAAAGGGCGGCAATGATGTTCAATTGCAAAAACAATTATTGTCTGAAATTCTCAACATCAAACAAGTGGAGATTTCCGACTGTGATGCAGGGATTTATCAAATTGACAAGAGATTCCGCAATAAGAAAGTCCTCATCGTTCTTGATGACCTAGATAAGATTGAATAATTCTCAATACTTGCAGAAAAGCGTGATTGGTTTGGTCTAGGGAGCAGAATTATTATTACGACAAGGGACATTGACTTTTTGTCGATTGAAGAGGAGAACCGAGAAAATAATGTCCGGACGCATTTCAAAGAGTTTACAATCTATCAAATGAGAGAATTGTTCTGTCACCATGCTCTTTAGCTTTTTAGTAAGCATGCTTCAAAATGGATTCTCCTCCACATGATTATTATCATATTTCTAGCGATATCATTCGCAAAACTGGTGGACTTCCTTTGGCTCTTGAGGTCATCGGTTCCTCTCTTTGGCACAAAAGTAAACCACTTTGGAAAGCCACGTTGAAGAAATTAGATTTAGTTCCCAATCAAGATGTCTATCACAAATTAATGATTAGCTTTGAAATGCTGGAGGACTCACCAAAAGAAATTTTTCTTGATATTGCGTGTTACTTTATTGGTGAAGAAAAAATCCATCCACATTATATGTGGCAAGCATTGGATTTGTCCCCCAGAATTGAGATCCATGTCCTTTCTTGTATGTCTTTGATAAAGGTTAGTGATAATGACATACTCTGATGCATGATCTACTCAAAGACCTTGGAAGAGAAATTGTTTGACAAGAAGACAAATTTCTCGAGAAGCGTAGTAGACTATGGTCTCCCAAGGATGTGTCGAACGTAGTGCAGCATAGAAAGGTACATTTTATTCACAGCTACGATCTTTCCGATCATGGAAACATCAGCTCAAAGCTTAAAGTATATTCCTAGGTGTGTTCTTTTGTCTGTGTTGTGCATCGCAGAAAACTAGATTTGTCAATTTTGAGTGAAATGAAAGTAATATCATAACTCATATTTGTTGGTTTTTGGTCCGATACTACTCGTTGGTTTTGGTCCGATAACAATGTTGGATTGCGGAAGCATGATTTTGATATCACTATTTAGTTTGTGGTTTAATGTGCTAGTGTGTTTGTGTCGGGATATATTCGGAAGAGGATGACAAGAGAACAAGGTAAGAGAACTCCAAGGATATAGCCAATGGGATAAGAAAAAATATAGTTTCATTATTTCAACAAAGTAGTTATACCCCATAGAGCAATTCCATCGACTTTGACAGGAAAAATCTTTGCCGAGTTGTGCTGAGATATATTTTTTTTCATTTAAGATTTTTCTAGACACAAGCATAACGTGGACTTATGTCCAAGATATTTTGTTGCCTTTGTAGAGAAGGAGAGGTCTAGATGCTTCTTGAAAATGGATCACTTATTTTAACAATATCTAGCAAAAGATTTTAATTGCTTACATTTACAACCCCAAAGTAGAAGCAAACATAATGTTTTACTTATAGAATAGGTCTATGCAATATTTAATCACGGAATGTGCTCTTTTTCTTCATTGTAGAAAGTTCACTTATGCCTTTTCATGTTGTCAAGGAGCAGAGATCATTACAGCACTCAAACTAACTAGACTTCCAAAAGAGCACGACTTTACAAGTGAAGAGTTTTCATGGCTGCCTAACTTAAGGTTGTTGGAATTAGAGGGGAGAACTTGACAGGAGACTTTAAGAATCTTCTCTCAAGTTTAAAATGGCTCTCTTGGCATCGTTGCCCTTCAGACTTGCAAGTGGTCATTCTATGCTTAGGGTGTGGCATCCCGAATTTTCATGGCCAAAGATTAAAGGACCCTAATGGATTAGGGCACTCGTCGACGGAATTAGGAAAATGAAATTGGAAGTTAGCATCGCCATTATCGTTTTTGGAATCACAGGTTTGGAATCTTGTAATCGTTATCATTGAGCTGACTAAATCGACGTCGCGTTGTCCGCAAAATGTAACAGCCCGAATTTCGACGTAAATTCCGGGATCAATAAAATTGACACTATTTCGCATTTCATTTTAGTAAGTCTCGCCCAGAGCTGATCACTCTCGGGATACTAACCAATGGGGTATGGATAACTGGGAAAACGGTACGTGGACCAGGGATCCGATCATGAATCGGACACCGATCACGAGAAATGATGAGTGAATATTTTGTGCCGGCGTAGGCCGATCTTAGGAAAAGTGATGGATTTGGTTTGGCTAAGGCCAACAATGTGCAATCGGATCGCAGGTAATTCTGCACGACCGAAAGTGCACGTGGCCAACCAGTCCTGAACTGGAACCGAACGATCGTAACCTCTGGGACTAGTGATAATTTCTCATTCTATCGATGATTGGGACCGTCATAACTCGGACAACCCTAGGTCGATCCGCGTAACCCCTAAACAACCGCCCATTAGTGAGAGACTCTAAAATTGAAAATTTAGCAAATTTTGGTGACGAAATTGGACCCGGACTTCGGTGTCGATTTTCGAGGGCTTGTACAACTATTTTTACGGATATGACATCATATTACGCTGGCCACACACGTTTGGGGATAGTACGGTCGAAAAATGGAATTTCGACCCGGAAGTCAAAAATTACGATTTTGCCCCTCTGGACACCGATGTCGATTTTGAGGCAGTATGAGAGTATTTTTCGCGGCCGATGTCATTTTAGGGTGGCCACGCACATTTAGAGTGGTTACGGACAAAAATTGGAATTTTGGCTCGGAAATGAAAAATAATATTATTTTATTCCCCAAGACTTTGCAGTCGATTTTCAAGGGCTTAAGAGGCTATTTTCGCGATTCCAACGCCATATTATGTTGGCCACGCTCATTTGGGGTTGGTATAGACAAAAATTGGGATTTCGCCCCAGGACCGGAAAAATGACCATTTTGCCCCTGGCCTATTTTTTGTCCGAATTTTTGGAAAATATTTGGGATAATTAAAGTTAATTATCAGCTGAATTATTGGCCCTATTTACCACTTTGCCCCTCAATTATTTGGATAAGATCAACCGAGACGGTTGGATTAAGGGCATTTTGGTCAAATCTCCCGGATTGGCGACACGTGGCGCCCTTGGCCCACCATATTTGACCAGATTAACTCTCTCTCTCTCCTCCTCCCCTCATTCGGCCAACTTCCCCCACCAATCAGCCCTCCTCCTCCGTTCTCTCTCTCCCTCGGTCGTTCGCGCCGGAGCTCGCTGGACCGCCGCCGTGCCGCCGCCGTTCAACGGAGCTGCTGGTCGCCGGCGCCGTCCACGTGTCCCCGACCCCACCAGCACCCCCATCCCGTCCGTTTTCTCTCTCTCTCTCTCTCTCTCTCTCTCTCTCTCTCTCTCTCTCTCTCTCTCTCTCTCTCTCTCTCTCTCTCTCTCTCTCTTCCTTGTTTTCTCTCTCTCGGCCAAAGGAACACCGGAGCTTCGCCGAACAGCCGTCCCGTCGCCGTCCAGCCGAGCTACTGCCGTCGTGACCCTCCAGCCACCGTACGTCGCTCCGTACGTCCCGTCCGTACGCGTCCGTACGGCCGTCCATACGCCATCCGTACGTCGCCGCCGGTTCTACCATTCACCGGTGATCGGCCGCCGTTCCTCATTGTCGTAGAGTTGAAATAAGTGCGTGTACCTCCTAAACCCAGATTAGGACTGATAGTGCATTTTCTGGACTAGTTTGGATATTATTAGTGAATGCTGAGAGAAATTAAGGAACCGGATGATGGGATTTGTGACTGGAATAATATCGATGATTTAATGTGTTAGTACGAGCTAGTTGAGAATTAGGTGACTAGACTGCCGGGTATGCCCGGGTTGGCTGAATTATGATTATTGTGCCCAATTTTGGGAAATTGAATAATGCCATGTCGTGTGCTCGGATGGCCGACTCATGTGGAGTGTGACTGGCCAATTGACGGCTTGATCAAATTATTGAACTGTACATTGTGCATTGGGCCGCACGGTATCAATTGGCCAAGTGAGCACATTGTTGTGGTATAAATTTGACTGGTTGTCTATAGTATGTTTGATGCTCATGGTGCATTGTGCTGCATTTCATGGCCACGCATTGGGTATGCCAAAAATGAAACGTGTGATGATATTGTGCGAGAATGCGTGTCTGTCATGAGCATGTGATCACCTAAAATACCCTGAGGCGTATTACGCGGGGTTCAGATAAAATTGGCAGTGTGCCGTGTGATCGCATATTGGCCTTCGGGTTGTGCTGTCCTCATGCACTTTGTAGCAGGACAATGCTCGGTATATCCAGAAGATGACCATCATCATGCACTTTGTAGCAGGCTCTGGTTCGTAAGGAGATCGGTGTTGCGCCTCATGCACTTTGTAGCAGGCTAGAGACACTAGGCCTGGGGCGTTTTTATGCTGGCCACGGAGTGTTGTGAGCCTTCGGGCCGTGGTTCTTGGATCGGTTATTAATTAAAAATGGGTTGTATGCCAGTGTGCAGTGTGAGCCAATATGAACATGGCATGATGATGACATTTACATGCATAAGAGTGCATGGGCTAATGTGCGAGTGTGCGAAACTCGGTGTTTGGCATGTGAATCAAACATTAATGGGCGTGAATATGCGTATGGTGTACGTGTGATCGGTGTGTTCGCGTATGTGCCGTGAGTATTTTTATGAACTGCCTAACCTACAGGGTCAATTGTATGATCGATCTGGGCCCGAGGGCCTAGGTCATTGTTTGTATATTGTATTGTTTTGCTGGTCAGGAGAATGCATGTTAGCCTAGCCTAGGTCTAGGGGTTATACTCGCTGAGATTCGTCTCACAGTTGTAATAATCAAACTTTTCAAACCTCCAGCCCTGAGCATGCCGAAGCTGCCACCTCTTTTTGGGATCCATACTCAGATCCATTCGACTACAAGAGTATACCCAGCTGGGAATGGGGAATCGTATGTAAGATATCATTCCGTAGTATATGTGAATGTGGGTGAGTACTTTTACCAAGCGCAAGAGTATGTGGCCTGGTGCCTGAAAGACGCTGACGGAAACATCGGACGACCGCTCAGAACCTTTGACGTCCCAGTAGACATAGGCGGGGTGATGGTACCCCAGATGGCTGATGGCGAGGTTGTGGATCCCCCACCCGCAGACGAGCCTGTGGCCATGGACCAGGAGCCAGGGGTATGGTACGAGGATCCCGAGCCAATGGCTGAAGAGGTTGAACAGGAGCCGGAGCCTATGGATCAAGACCCGGGCGAGAATGGAGAGATTGCTGAGCTGGGATCTGATGAGGAGGTAGTGTCCGAGGAGGAGGTAGATCTATATTTGGATCCGGAGCTTGAGAT